GGGGGCCGGCCCCGGCACCGCCCCTACCGGCGCCGCCGCTGCCGCCGCCGCCGCGGCTGCAGCAGCCGCCGCTGCCCTGGCGGCTTTCTCCAGGCCCGCGGACCAAGCGCAGAGCGCGGAGGCAGCCGGCGGAACAGGTAACCACTTGATCCGGGGCTGGGTGGCGGGCTGGGTGGAGGAGGAGGAGGCCGAAGAGGGGGCAAAGAAGGCGATCCGGGGAGGCGCGAAGGGCCTGCCGCCATTTGAGTCACCCTTGTTCCCTTCGCCAGCACTAAGCAGGTCACCCCTCCCTCTCCCCCAAGGGGTAGCCCGAGCGCGGAGGCAGCCGGCGGAACAGGTAACCACTTGATCCGGGGCTGGGTGGCGGGCTGGGTGGAGGAGGAGGAGGCCGAAGAGGGGGCAAAGAAGGCGATCCGGGGAGGCGCGAAGGGCCTGCCGCCATTTGAGTCACCCTTGTTCCCTTCGCCAGCACTAAGCAGGTCACCCCTCCCTCTCCCCCAAGGGGTAGCCCTGTGAGGATTTCTGCAGAGTCTTGTGTTGCCTTAAAGACCACGACGTTTCATTTGGCAGAAGAAACTTTTCCTGGTTTGTAGCCAGCTTTGCAGCTGAAGACGGGGCTACCGTCCACCGAAGCTTTCCTGCCAAATACAACTTGTGAGCCACGGAGGTCTCCCCCGAGGTTTTCTTCCTCCCTTTCAGTCCCTCAGGCTTCTTTCGGAGCAGATCCGGATAGGTGAATAGGGAACAACAGAGCTTTTGATGAAGTGGCCCCTCCGAAACGGAGGGCTCTGCTTTGCTTGCCAGATCATGTCTGCTGGAGTTCCGTAGGCCTTCAGGCTACCAAGGGAGGTCTTCTCTGGAGATGGGTCTCAGAGGCCGGGCTGTAAATTCCATGGGGTTTAATTCTGAGGAAATTGCAGAGCAGGCTGATATATTTTAGGGGAAGAAACTGGAGATTCAGATGAGAAGCGATCAAGGCACCTGAATAATTCTGGAAACAATGGGTGCATTTGACCTAAAAAGGAGAAAGTGAGGGCGGCCACCTCGAGGCTGTAAGGAAAGTGCACTTCTGAATCGTCTTCCTGCTGGCCGTTCTGCCCCCTGCTTTCCTTTCTCAGCTTGGTTTGGCTGAAGAGTTCATTGATATTACAGGGGGGGGGGGAACCGTTCAGATTGAGGCCCCTTTCTCTCCGCCGATCAGCTCCACTTTCTAAACGGTCGAGCGTCTTTCCCTAAGTCGCCTTCTTGTTCCGAGATGATTTGCCGGCGTTTCTTTAAGAAAATAGAAGTACAGCACAAGTTTTTTCCTGTGAGACCCCGAAAAGGCAAGAAAAGGGCAGGGAGATCTCCTTTACTGCTTGGGTTTGGACGAAAATGCAGTGTGATCCTCCCCAGCTAGTAGGAAACGCCAGTTGCCGGGTTCAGAATTAATCTCCTCTTTGGGTGGGGGCATCATTTCACTTTTCTAATTTTTAAGAAAGTGCATTTAATCGCCTTGTGGGCACCACACACGGAGAGATTTCTAATTCTGTTTGCCTGAAAAGAAGTCTCAAGTCTAAGATGAAAGCGTGGGCCACGATTTGTTTTAACCACTAAAATTTGTTTGTTGATGATCCAACTGCTGTGTGTATAACCCTATAAAAAGCAATGTAATCTTTTACATGCTTAAGCCTTGAATGCAGTGGGTCTTACTCCTGGGTAAAAGTGCCTAGGGTTGTAACTGAAGGGGTTAAGCAGCTCCCACTGACACCAGAATTTCTTTTTTCTACTTTATATTAACCCGGGCACTGAGCCTTCTTAACAGTTTTTAAAAAGGTGCTCTTCTAAGTTCTTGCAGAGTGTCTTAAATAAGAGGGTTTTTAAAAAAAAGAAGAAGCAACAAAGCTAAGGTGTTCTTTTTCGGTTTTAAAACAAGGATTTTTTTTCCTTTTGTTTGCTTTTATTTAGATCGGTCTAGTGCCTTGGAAGTAGAAAAAAAGTTAATTAAGACAGCTTTCCAGCCAGTTCAGAGGCGGTAAGAAATTGTCCTATCTCAGAGGGTACATGGAAAGACAGATCTGGGGTGGAAAAGGGAGGGTGGGAGCTTTTTTAAAAAAGGCAAAACTGTGTCAGAATTTATAAACTACAAGCCGAGGCGTGCACTTACTTGGGAGTAAATGCCACGGAAGTTATTGGGATTTCCATCAGAGCTGCACAGATCTTTAGAAATGGGGATGAGCGATGCAGGGCAGAGTTGTGGGGGGGCTTTTTAATTGTTGTTGCTCACAGCATGATGTTGAAAATGATTATTGGGGCAAGATCAAACTTCTTATCTCCCCCATCCCCTTTTCTTGGACTTGAGAAAAGTGAGCGCTCATTGTGAGAGGCAGAAGACTTTACCCATGCCACAGACTTTCTCGAAAATTCTCCATTTACTCCCCTATCCTGACCCATTTTAGCCACGCAGTTCAAAACAGGCCATATTTAAGGACTGGGTTAGAGAGAAAGTGTAAATGAAAGAAATAATAGTGGGCAGAGCAATGCAAGCATCAGCCAGTATGTCTACCTGTTGCACATAGGTGCGTGCAATAAAATGTGCACATATTCCCATTGTACACATGGATATAGAAAGTTTATACTGCCTAGAAACCAAATGTGTATTTGTGTGGGTATTTGTGCAATACATATGCATGTAAATGTGTATTTTTATTTTTGGACTGGATTGCGGTATATACTTCTTAGTGCACCTGGAACAGAAATATTGCTTTGCTATTATATATATATATGATCTATGTGTGTGTTTCCACATACACATGTATGCCCACCCGCGCAAGGCAGAGCAATTGCATAGCGGCTTGGTGCTGCCGAAAACTGTGTTGTGCGCTGGCCTACACATATAAAAATGTAAACTAAAGGAGGCCATTCAAGAGATACTGAGGTGCATGTTGAAACGGCAAAGATTGCTTTATTAATCTGTTGCAGTGTGGTGGGGAGGGGAAAACTAAAACTTCCAGTATTCTGATATTTTGCAGGCTTGGCAAACATACTGCGCAATCAGGTTTTATAAGACTATCAGCAAGAACAGACCAAATGGGTTCCAAAAATGCAGGAAAGCTTCCATGCATGTAATAGAATGCATGAAAAAGAATGCATGGAATACATGTAATATAAGTTTCCGTCAAACTCTAGGGGGGAAAAATTGGAATCCTCACTTTTGTTCCAATTTAATTTTTAAAACACACGTTTGCTTCAATGCAATCTCAAATCAGATGTCATGATTCAAAATGAATAGATATATATATATATTTCTCTCTCTCTCTCTGTCCTTTTTCCTCTAGGCCTCAGAACCAACTTGATGCAGCTATGGTTCTATCTGCGCTATCATCATCATAGTTAATTTTTTTTTCTAATTATTATTCTGATGGTTGTACAATAAAATTCTCTGTATAGTTACAGCTTGTACGCATGTCCCCGCATTAAATGGAAAAAAAAGCAAAGGAAAAAAAACTGCTTCTGTACTATTATCTGGATTAGCTGAATTTGTGAGGTTTTTTTGGAAGTCCAGTGAGAAATAGGCATCTCTTCTCTTTTTTGTATATATAGTAAAAAAAAATGTAAATATGTGTGAACCAAATTGTACAAGAAAGTATATATTTTTGGCTAATAAACTGATGCCACTTTGACTAAAATGTTGACATCTAGTGGAATTTATTATTATTA